AAAAAAAAAAAAAAAGAAAAAAAGACTGGGCACCTGGACCCCTGTTCTAGAGGTCAGGGCAGGTCTGAGGCGTCAGGAAGAAAATGGGGTAGGAGCTGAGAGACACAATACTGGACTGAAAGTACAACAGCCACCAAGCATGCAGACTCATGTCAGCCCTCATCTCAGAGCCATCAGCCCAGGAAGAATAAAGCAAAGACCAACATCTGCAGAATTCCCTAAGTTGGACGGTGTGTTGGAAGACTTATATCAGAAGAGAAGGAGGGACTCCAAGCACATAGTGGTAAAATGAGTGGCAGCTCACATGCAGATAATTAATTAGCCCATGAATGCCCTCTCTCTTCGTTGCCCTCTCCTTCCACAAATGTGCATCATGAAGAAACCCAAAGTAACCCTTCAGGCTGCCCTTACAGTGGATTATATCATCTTCTTAACCCCAGAGCTTTGCACCTAACATACAACATTGTACACAAGAAATGGATTTAAACTATATTTACCAGATTTTACTTACATCACATCTTAGGGTCATCTGAATCAAGTAACTAAGAGAGATGCTCTAGGTACACCCACCAGGAATACTGCCGCTTCTTTGATGAGAGGCAAAGACCTAGAAAGGAGGTCTACCATTTTGTGAATATTCCAAGCCCTACAGTCAGACTTCCCAGAGGCCTTAGATAGTGATGTGGATCCCATGAGCAGCATCGCGGCAGCTGGTCAACTCCCAGACCAAAGATGAGGCCAGAGCCACCCAACTCTTAAAGCCATTTGCTCCAGAGGCTGAGAGGGTGTCACATACCATGTGCTCCATGCAGATACTGATCTCGCCATCGCTGTAGAATGCACCATAGAAGCCCACGATGTACGGAGAGTTGCACTCATGCAGAACCTGCAGCTCCCTTATGATCTGGTTCCGGATTGCGGGTTTGATCTCCAGATGAATTAGCTGGAGAAAAGAAAGGTGAAAGAAAGAGAGATTTTATGAAAGAAAGAGGGAAGGAAGGACGAAATATGTAGTCTTGTTAAATGTTTAAGCTCTTAAAGGTAGGGGGAGGAGAAACAGGTAAGTTGTAACAAACAAGTTTCTGCTCGACCAAGAACTGAGTGTCACTGTTTTAAGGCAGGCATTGGCACTGGGGGCTGTCCCCGCTGTGCCTCAGCTCCTGGAAGCCAAGACAGGAACAAAGTTAACGAAGGGCTTACTCCAAAAGAACCTTTGGAGCTCAGATATGAAGAGAAATTGACCTTGAGGACTTGGTCCACACTCAAGAATTGTGGAAGTAGAAGGGTATGAGGAACTCAGGTATGCTAAACTAGGCTGCCCAAGAGATTCTTTCTTGAGCTCAGGAGCCTGATGTGGTTGAGACTGAGACAAAGTCTAAGGTCCTACCTTATGTCACCCTAACATTTTCCCTTGTTCCAGCTAGGGAGACAAGTGACAGCCACATAAAAAAGTTACATAGTAAGGTTGAACTTCTAAAAAATCCCACAGATGGTGAGTGTCAGAGAACATGAATGCAGCAGTTACCAGTGTGGGCTGGAGCACCTGGTGAAAGCTAGATAAAAGGTGTATCTAGAAGATGGGCACTGTTTGAAAAGGCAGAAGGAACAACAGCACAAAAAAAATATGGGCACGTGAGTGAACACAGTGTGCAGAAAAACATCAAAAAAGCCCAACCTTTCTGGAGCAGGGGGCTGTGTTCCAAAAGAGGACCAAGGCAGACAGGAAAGGGAAGTCCAGCTCAATGAGTACATGCTATGGTAGGGAGTTCAGATGCTGTAATGCAGGAAGATAAAGGGAATTTACTGGCACAAGTGGGAAACAACTTGAAATCCACGTTTTGTGTATCACTGGGGCTAAGTGAATGAAAACAGCTTCTCGTGCACATGATAAGCAATAAACAGATACCCTAGCATCCTTCCACAGCACACAGAAGGCTAAAGAAGAGTCACTTATTATTTTCTAGACAGGATGGGGATTAATACACTAACACAGTCATTAGTGTGTTTATCCATAACCTCATAGATGACATGCATTCGAAATTCAAACAGCACAAGAAGGTATTGAGGAAAGTCAGTCTTCCTTCTACCCTGGTCCCCAGGCCTCTAGGTACCTGAGAGATAATCCAATTACCTGTTAATCAAAGCAAACTCACCTTTCTGGCCATGACCAGGCCAGAAGGCTTGTGGGAGACCTTGAACACCACACCGCCATTGCCAGCCCCCAGCTCACTGATCTTCTCAAAGTCATCATCCTTCAGTTCTCCCACCTTCTGCTTCTGGGTAAGAAAGGCCTCAAGGCGCTTTCGCTGCTGCTCGTCAAGCTCTAGCTCCTCCAGCTTCTTCTGCAAGGCCTCCAGATTGGTCCTATCACAAAGCAGAGAGTAAAAGTCAATACCATCACCAGAGAAGTCAACCCAATAAAGCACTCCTATCATGGAAAGCTCCAGCTCTGGGGACAGACAGAGAACTAAAGTGGGAGGCCAGAGAGGAGGCCCCTCCCACTGTGGCTCTGCCCACTTCACTCCAGCCACTGCAGATGACTAGCACCAACATGCTTTACCTGACTTCCATTTCCTCATTTATAAAATGAAAAAATCAGGTCTTTCTGACTCAATATGCTTCAAGTCTATGAGAAGAACAAAAGAATCTACTAAAATCCAGAATGGCCCACCTTAATTTGCTTTAAAACTTCATTTTAAAAAGCCCCACTACTGTTGGTTTTATTGTTTTTACCATACACAAAATAAAATTCTCTAAATCCACTGAAATGAAATCAAACCAACTTTAAACTCAATCACAACAGTAGAAATCCTCATTTTCAATGTAACCAGGTCCAGTAACCAGGTTAGTCAAAAAAGTCACAGAAAAAAAAAAATCAAAAATTATCTATCTAAAATTATTATTTTTCCATAATGCACATAAATCTTCATTCATTCACCCATTCTTTAACATAGGGTGAGACTCTTTGAATAAGGGTCCAAAGAAGACCCTCTGGTTAAGAGGTCCACATCACCCTTCTCACATGGACCAGAACATAATACATGGTTGACAATTTTCTGTTCATGATTTGTTAAAGTTGACTAAAAATGTAGATACTTGCAGAGTAATCACAGTATAAAATTTTAGAGTATGATTTCTCCCAATCTTAATGTTCATCTAGTTTGACAGTAATGTGTTTTAGTGACTTGGACTTGTGAGTCTTTCCACAGCTTTTAACTGGTGTTCATGGGGGGGAAAAAAAGGAAAAAAAAATCATTTCATTTGCAGTTATATTTCATCAATTTATCCAATACTTAAATACATTACTTAACTACAATACCAGCTACAGCTGAACAAATGGGTTTGGGAACAAGCTGGCCTTTGGTAAGCACATAATTCAGCCAGTGGGTGCTGAAGCGAGTGGGTACGGCAGACAGCAGGCTGCCAGCTGTGCATTCAGCATGCTGTGGGCATTGCTCAGCATGTTTCATCCAGGGAACTGAAAAGTGTTCATCACTCCTGGAGTGGGTTAACAGGAAAGTGGTAAGAGAGCTTGCACTGCGTTTCACTGGATTTCACTGGGTTTCAAATTGAAGTCCTGTGAGGCGAGGCGTGTCAGTGACAATTGTGTGGGGTGGCTGCAGTGACACAGGTGACAAGATAGGTCTTCATTATGTATCATCATGTTGGTGTTCCCGCCAACACACACATCCTAGTTCTGAGCTTAAAAGGCAGAGTAAGCATAATCTGCTCTTCCTTCACAACCTCTATCCCAAACCTCTAGAAGACAGGGAAATGGACACCTAATACCTCTCCATGTATGAGGAGATCCGACACTGCCTTACAAATAACATCACACATGGGGCCAAAGAGGATGCAAGGCTGAGGTTACTGATTTTCCTCTCTGATATCCCCCCCAACCCCCAGCAGCTGCACACATCAAAGAAAGGCCATGCACGCACCCAGTGGGAAGGCAGCTGTCCGCAGGCCAGGAAGAGGACTCCCACCAGAACCCAACCATATTGTCCCCTGCTCTTAGACTTTCAGCCTCCGGAACAGTGAGAAAATAAATTCTTGTTGTTTAAGCTACCTAGTCTATGACATTTCATCATAGTAGTCCAAGCAAACTGAGACAGCTACTCAATAGTTTCATCCTGCTAAAAGGTTCAGCTATGTCTTGCAGTGTCCCCAGTCTCTAGGGTGTGGGAACCCAGAATATGTGGGGCTGGGGGGGTACAGGGCACACTCTCTGGTTCCCTTTCTCCCAGCTCTCCACACAAAGGAGCTTGCTGAGGACCACATTTAGAAACACACTTCAAATGCAGATGGACACCACAGGTAAAACTTCAATGAGGTTACAGCTACCTGGAGGGCTCAGCAGGCCAGCGAGAAATACAGATTCCAAAAGCTCGCTCTCTCTCTCTCTCTCCCCCTCCCTCTCACACACACACACACACACACACACAGAGTGTGCATGACGGGGGAAGGGAAGGAGGGCTGCATGGAAGAAAAATTGCTTTTCTCACAACACTGTGTACTCTCTTCAGTGCTTTACATTTATTAAGTCATTTAACCCACAACCCCCAATTAGAACAGATAAGCAAACTCAAGCACACACAGGTGAACTAAGATGTCAAAGGTCAAACAGCTGGTAAGTGGCACAGCCAGGATTCAAATTCAGACAGAGAGAACTAATCTCTCACCTTAACCATGATGCCATACTACCTTCAAAAAGCTCAATACTTTCAAGGGAGGCAACTGACAAATGTGGGTAAGATCCCTGTGTGAGGCGTTTAACACACCAGGGCTCGATCATGCATAAAGATGGTGTGCCCTACACAAAGAGGTCTTTGCACCATGGACAATCCTGTCTCCCATGCACTTCAATAGATGACGGATCTACTGAAGCAGATTAACACTGCCTTGCAGCTAATATTCACCACAAGAAATTCAATCCATTTGTCAAGGAAAAGGGAATGCTGACTCTGTTCACTTTCCCGACTCTTTGAAATAAGTAATTCTTACACCTTCTGAAGGAAAAACTAAGTCTGGGCTTTGTGCTACCTTTCTCCCTTCTCTACCTCCTATCCCCTGCTGTTTATCCACCCACCCCACCAGCTAAGGAACTGGCTTCTGACCTGTGCTTTCAGAAGGTGGCCAGAGAGAGAAATGGCAAAGACCTTCCTAATGGCAGGTGTGTATGGGTGATGACTGGAGATGGAATCATGTTGGAAAATTAACAAATCACTAGTGTTCAAGAGTCCTGGTTTCTTACCCCAAATTGTTCATCAACTAGCTAAGTGACCATGGGCAAGTCACTTAACCTTGCCACATTTCAGATTTCTCTTCTATACATCATGGAATACTGTGCAGCCATAAAAAAGAACAGCATAATGTCCTTTGCAGGAACATGGGTGGAGCTGGAAGTCATTATTCTCAGCAAACTAATGCAGGAACAGAAAACCAAACACCACATGTTCTCACTTATAAGTGGGAGCTGAATGAGGAGAACACATGGACACACAGGAGTGAATGACACACACTAGGGCCTGTCGACAGGTGGTCAGGGAGGAGGGAGAGCATCAGGAAGAATAGTTAATAGATGCTGGGCTTAATATCTAGGTGACGGGATGATCTGTGCGGAAAACCACCATGGCACACGTTTAACCTATGCTAACAAATCTGCACATTCTGCACATGTTCCCCTGAACTTAAAATTTTTAAAAATAACTAAATAAAAGGATTTCTCTTTTGTAAAATAGGATTAACAATTCCACTCTTATTTAACTTACTGGGGAGGGTCAAAGTAGAAACTAATGGAAGAAGCATGAAATTTTTGACACATTTCTTCACTAATACAGAGGCAGGGGAGGTGAAGAGGAGAAAGGAGAGGCCAAGGCAGCAACAGCAGGATCCAGAACTAACTACTGCCTTTCCTTTAATTATTCTTAACATACTCCCTGTTTTTCAGAGAATGAAAGATGAAACATTTTATCTGAAGGTGAAACGAAGATCTTGGCATCAAAATGGCTTTCAGTACTCATTAGAAAGATATCAGTCAATAATGTAACAGTATTCAGTATTTCTTTCTCTTGCAGAGGGAGTTGATGTTCAACAAGGCTAATTTCTGTCCTTCCAAAGTGAAATGTTTTAAGCAAATGATATAAGAGAGCAGGCCCTTACCCAACACCTATATCACCAATGTCTAAAACTGAGAGGGCATAAACCTGTCTCTGTCTCTCTTCACCATCTTTGGTTTTAACTGGTATCAGCAAAACTGAGACAGGGGATTTAAACAAAACAAAACTGGAGCTCCAGCACAATAAATCTGGCACACACAGCCCCCTCTCCAGGGACCAGCTGTGACTGGCTCCACCCGCCATCACAATCATCATGGCAGAGAGAAAACCACACACTGTAACGTGAATTCTGCATTACGGCTAACAGTAAATACAAGTTCGTGAAGACACAAGAACATTATAGGTTTGAATGGGTACACAGAGAAAAACAAGGGTTGTCATTTGCTTTCTGAAAACACCAGGGAGGCACAATGAAATGGATGGGAAAGGATAATCCTGTGGGCAAGAACATCTCCTTCTCATCTCACCCATCTGCTAAGCCTAATTACACTGCCACAACTGGAACCTTTCATTTGCTACTCACTGGTTTAAATCAAGCAGCAGCATAAAATGTATCCCAGGAGGGACCTTGAAGACCACTTTATCCAACCTTCATTTTACAGATGATAAAACTGAGGCCCAAAGGGACAAGTTCACACAGTTCATTGGTGGCAGGTCTCCTAACTCCTAGGACAGAGCTCCTTTCAAGGCCCCACATTGCCTTGTTCAACCCTGATGGTCACTGAATTTAGTGGCTGACCAAAGGAAGAATAGAAGGAGGCAGGGGAGTGATGTTCAGGAAAAGAAATGGGATCTCCAAACCGCCACACAGCAAACAGAAAGGGACCACAATTCCATGCCACCCAACCTGAGCCTTGCTCTAGTCTCAATGGCTGGCCCTGCCTCTGCCAGGCGGGTACACTGAGAAAAGGGGAGAGGATGACAACCAGTCACTGTGGGAAAGAGAGGAAGGGTCCCTGTGCAGGTGGGGGTTCTTACCAGAGAGCCCAGGGAGTTGTAAAATTCTCCCTCCCCTGTGGCATCTGGCAAGCAGGAATGCTACTAGAGCAGGAAACAAGTGGCAGAGAAAGAGGGAAGGAGAGGCAGAAGAGACAGAACCAAGGTAAGAGAGACCAGCGCCTAGAGATGTAAGGCTCCATACAATCCCTTGATCCACACCTTCTACCCCTACCTTCCCATCTGTGAGATCTTGGGTAAGTTACTTTCCTTTCTGGTCCTCAGTTCCATACCCATAAGAAAAGTATA